AGATTTAGCATTAAATTTCATATAAACATAAAGCATGCAGTACAAGGCACTTATTTAACAGACAATTGCTTAAAGCCTTGTGCAGGCTGGAGGCTACTTAAAGTTTAAGATATCTCTGCTCCTTTCAAGAGCATCATCATATTATCCAGTGGAGTTTTAAAATCCTGATTTTTACTGTGAATCTTATTAGAGAAGGACACAGAAAGGTAAGTTTCTGTTGGTAATTCTTTATTTCCTATTGAAAAAGCGTAGCAAGTTTTCTTCTGGATCAAAGAAAAAGCAGAGAGATTTTACACACAAAAAAAATTTCAAGGCAGTTTGTATTTGGATTTTCTTATAGCTTGCTTACTTTCATTAGATTACCTTTATCCCCTGTGTTTGAATGTGTGTGAGTGTATAATTGCAGGGCGACCTACATGCACGCGTAGCTGTGTCCTTCTGTGTGTGTCTGCCTGTTCTGTGCACGCTGATATCACAAGGCTAGTCCAACAAGCAGAGGAAGGTAGAGTCCTGAATTCAAGTTGGAAAGACACCGCAATTTCTTATTAGCGATGAAAATTCAGCACCCCTTACCATAGGCTGCAGTAAGCTCATCATTGCTTGAAGACTGCGCTGAGATCGAGTGACTTTTTGTGGAAGCTTTGCCACGTGTTGTGGGGCTTGGTTGGCCTGAAGCATTGAAGGACAGGTGTATATAGGAGCACCAGACTGAAATCCTGTACCAGACCCTTTGCTTTTTGCAGGCTGGCAAGCTGCAATGCAGTCACACCTTCCTCTTTATGTAGGAAAGGCAGAAAAGGGCAGTGGCTTTTCTCAGAGCTTCTCGAGAGCTACTGCCTCAGTAGGGAAGGCAGTGTGCCTTGACCCCTGTAACGTAGGTCATGAGGGCCCAGGCTCACTGGATTTCACCAAAGCGTATTTGGTTTCCCACAGACCAAAAGTGACCTAGGTGAGGAGAGGAGTAAGACCTCCTTGGGTCTCTGAACATATTGAACCCCTCAGAGATGGGGATTCTCAGCTGGTCTAAAGTTGGTACTACATTTTCACCAGCAAGTGGCAGGTGTTATTATTTAATTGTCACAATGCGGACAAAAGAAACCAATGTAACTGTTTTAGTATAGATATTTGATTAAACTAAGTATCATGTTGTCTTTAGTAACCGTAACTTGCAAGGATGGCTGAAATGCGAAACTTCACTTGGGCGGTGGAAGATATTTTCAAGGAAACCTTTCTCACTTACATGAATGGCTGGAGGAAAAACATGACGGAAGCGGCGGATAAATTGCAAGCCAAGGTTGATGCCGAAAACTTTGACTATGTTATCCTTTATTTGATGGTGATGATTGGGATGTTCTCCTTCATTATTGTGGCGATCTTGGTGAGTACTGTGAAATCAAAGAGGCGTGAGCACTCCAATGACCCCTATCATCAGTACATCGTTGAGGACTGGGGCGAGAAGTATAAAAGCCAGGTTCTGAATCGAGAAGACCTCAAGTGTGTGATCCACGAAAACTTGGGTGCAAAGGACAAAACAAGCCCTGGATCACCCTGACTTTTTGAAACGTCAACAATGAAGAAATCATAAAGCCACATGTAGGGAACTCACTGGAATTACAAATAGCTGTGAAACTGTTCATTAAATTAACAGACAGGTCAATGTGGAATGGAGTGATGAGGAAATCAGCATTACTGTTTCCCATGAGGACTTTGGCACAGCTGCTCAGGGAACACCCAAGAAAAATGCATGATTGTGCTTTGCTTTGATATTCTGCTCTTCAGGAAAATAAAACCAAGAGAATGAATAACTTGACTTTTTTTTTAGCAGTTTTTAAATCCAGAAGCAGATCTGCATGTTCCCACCTCAAAATAACTGTGAATTAGTGGTCAAAAGTGCTGATTTAGATCCAAACTGTATGACTTAAGCCCATCTTAAAAATAACTTGAAAATGTACAGTAAAATATCAAAATCTCCATCTATTGACTGAACAATGTGTTTGGTATGAATCATAGGAGGTAACTTACCTACACACATTCATTCCAAACTATTTTTTTAATGATCTGGATCCCATTTTGATTTCATTATTCACTGGCAGCAAAGATTGACTCATGGCCTTCTGACAAAGCCTGTTTCGTAGCAGAAGAGCTGCTAAACTAGCAGCCTCATCTAGGAGCATGTCCTGGTTGTCCAGGGCAGCTTCCAGAGGTTCATCATCTGTCCTCAAGTCCATAGCTGGCAAAGCTGTCTCTGCTGCTGCTCCTTGGTTCTCCAGAGCAATCTGTCTACCTGGGATGCAAGCTGGGTGATGGAGGCGCTGGTTACATCCCATCAGCCAGGGCTCAGTGTAAACCACTGAGATCCTGCCTTATGGCTTTCAGAGGAGGGATTTCTATACCTGGCTATCAAGGCTGTCCCAGTGCTGTGCTTCCTTAGGGTTTCCCGTGTTGGGTACTGGTTTCCACTGGCTGGGAAATGGGTTTTCAAGATGGTTTATCTTCTCCTGTGCTGCTGAAGTATCACAATGCTGGCTCTCAGGGAATGATTAGAAGCAGAACCGGTGACACTTCTATTATTAAAACGTGCTTCCTTTTGTAAGACTCTGGGCTTAGCTCCTATTCATGTTGCCAGACTTAAATCGCTTAAACTAAAGTTCCCATGCTGGCTATCGTGTGGGCTTGTTTCTTTTTTTTTGGCTGAAACACTTCAGCCATGTCTGACGCTGCATTTCCGGTAATTTTGTTTTGCTTGTGTTAAAAAGAAATGAAAAAGAAAAGGGCTTCTTTCGTTGGGAAGCTTTGGCTTGTTTTGTAGACTGGTCCTGAGATTCGGCACAGCAGCTGCTGTCGTGCCCCAGATGTGCCTTTTGTTGGCATAGTAATAAGCCTTTGAATAATCTCAGTCCATGTGTGCTGGGGAAGGCTTGTCAGGTCCCAGCACTGCCATCTGCTGAGCCTCTCCCCACCCAGCATGCCCCCTTTCCCCCCACCTCCCCGGGTGGCCTGTGGGTGTCCGCCAGCTCCCCGGCTCCTGTCATGGGTGTGCTCCACACCCAGGCTGTGGGACTTTCCTTACCCTCGGGGCCCGCAGGCTGGCACAGCGAAGATAACGTGCTGCACCGAGCGGGTGGAGGCCACCGGGGCCCGGCGCTATGGCCGCGCTACGGTCACGGAGAGGCCCTTTTGGCAAGGTACGGTCGGAGGAGCACCCCTGCTGAAGTTGCCCAGGTGCACCCGAGCAGCTCACCCGACCCGCCCAGGCCCTGCTTCCTGGAGGACGGGGACCTGGACTGCTTTGCCCTCCGACCTACACCTCTGGGACGTGTGGGAACTGCTTTACCTCAAAATTATTATTTTTTTGGAAGAAACAGGGGGCTACTTTCTGCTCCGGCCTCAGGCAGCGGCCGGGGCACGGCGCGTTTGCGGCAGAGGTGCCCGGGGCAAGGCG